ACCCTGCAGGACAGGAATTCCCTGCTGGGATCTGGGACCACCCTGCAGGACAGGAATTCCCTGCTGGGATCTGGGACCACCCTGCAGGAGCTGCTGGCACAGGCAGAGGGTCTCAGTGCCAGCTGGACCCGTCCTGCTGTCCCCACAGGCTCCTGCAGGGACACTGGGGACTCTCCCCCAGTGCTGGTCAGGAAGGAGGGTGATCCCAAAGGTGATCCCAAAGGTGATCCCAAAGGTGATCCCAAAGATTCCAGGTTAGGGAAGGGCTGGATCCCTGAGCTGCAGAGGAGGCTGTCATGGGATGGGGCTGTGACCCCGAGGGGTGTGCAGGGAGAGGGGCTTGGGGTGCATCCTGTGGGTTCTTTGGGATGGGGAAATCCTGCAGCCGTGGGTTTGCAGCACAGGGAAGGGCTGAAGGGACCAGCCCCGGAGGCAGGGACAGGACAATCCAGGGGAAGGTGGGAGCCGGAGGGGTGCAGCAGTGTGAGCACGGGCAGGAACCAGGCTGCCCGAGCGGGGCTGGCACAGGGCAGGGCCAGCAGCCACCTGAGCGCTGGGCCAGCTCCAGAGCTGGGCCACCCTCCTGCCCTGGAGCCCCTGGGCACTGTCCCCAGTGTCCTGGCAGCCTCCCAGGGCTCCTCATCCCAGGCTGGAGGGGCAGCAGGGACACGGGGCAGCGAGGACAGCAGCGGTGGGGACTCCCTCAGTGCCCGGGTCAGGGAGCTCCTGGGGGAACCTGGCTGCTGCCAGCAGCTGGGCAGTGCCCCGGGGGCATGGCCGGGCATCCTGCCTGGGGCTGGGGCTGCCAGGACCTGGGCAGGGAGCACAGCTGGGGCTGCCAGGACCCAGACAGGCAATGGAGCTGCCAGGACCCGGGTGGGCAGTGGCAGCAGCAGCAGTGGGGACTCCCTCAGTGCCCGGGTCAGGGAGCTCCTGGAGAGGCCTCAGAGCTCCCAGCAGCTGGGCAGTGCCCCAGGGGCATTGCAGGGCATCCTGCCTGGGGCTGGGGCTGCCAGGACCCAGACAGGCAGTGGAGATGGGGCTGGGGCTGCCAGGACCTGGGGGACCTGGGCAGGGAGCAGAGATGGGGCTGGGGCTGCCAGGACCTGGGCAGGGAGCACAGCTGGAGCTGCCAGGACCCAGACAGGCAATGGAGCTGCCAGGACCTGGGCAGGGAGCACAGCTGGAGCTGCCAGGACCCAGACAGGCAGTGGGGCTGCCAGGACCTGGACAGGGAGCACAGCTGGGGCTGCCAGGACCTGGGTGGGCAGTGGGGCTGCCAGGACCCGGGTGGGCAGTGGCAGCAGCAGCAGTGGGGACTCCCTCAGTGCCCGGGTCAGGGAGCTCCTGGGGGCCCCTGGCTCCCCTGGCATCGATGCCAGCCGGATGCTGAGGAATGCAGAGGAGCAGGAGAGGAAGATCCGAGGTGAGTGGGGATGAAGGAATTCTGGGCAGCAAATCCATGTGGTTATGCACAAGCCGATTTATTGCTAACTTTTTACTTATTCTAAAACCACTCAATCGCACGTTTTTTTGATTTTGCTTTTATTTTGTTTGCTTTGCACGAGCCTTGCAGGTCAAAGGATTGGTTGCAGCCCAGAGCATCACTGCCCACCTTTAGCTTGGCTTTTTAAGTTTTGGTATTCTGTTTTTCGGCTTTTTCTTTCTCAGTTTAGCACAATTTATGTTTTAGTAGCTTTGAAGAGTTTCAGAAAGTTGGATAAACTGCAGAAAAACGTTGAAAAATGGCTGATGTAGTGCACTTGTTATGAACAATGGTTTAAATTTAAAAATGTAGAACAGCTGATAGGGGGATTTTGAGCTCTCTGTGCTGTCAGGCACTGACCCCCTGCAGAACTCTGCTTGTGACCTGAGACTTTGGAGAAAACTTCTAAATATGAGTGATGGAGTGAAATAGAGGTGTGTGATTTCACATGGTGGAGGGTTTCAAATTTGAGGTTTTTATGATGCAGGTATGGGTCAAGATGGAGGATTTGGGGTGGTGTCTCTTTCTTTGCTCATCTTCCTCCTCCATGGTTTCAGGCAGCAGTTTCTGGTTGGTCACTCGGTGTCACACTGAGGGCCATGGGAATTTAATTATTAGGTGAAAGTAGAAATAATATAGGTGTTAATTCAGTTTTAAGAGACTTTGTAGCAGCTGCAGCTCTCCATTTTCCTCTCTTCTAGCAGGTGCTGGAAGTGCTCTTGAACTCTCTGTACTTTCTGATAAGATTTAGTAAACAACCAACCCCAAACAGCAGAAAATCCATTTCCATCGTGTCTTTGTTAATCCTGGCTCTGAGGAAAAGCAGAAGAGGCTGGGACACAGCAGTAATAGAGTGCAGAACTCCCACTGCTGTTGCATGTTTTGGGTTGTGATGAGAAGCTTTAAGGGGACAGTGAGGGACACTTCCCTGTCATCTGTGCTGGGATGGAATTGGGCTTTTCCAGCTCAAAAACCTCCTTTTCCTGACATCACTGTAAGGAATTATTTTGTCCACGCAGTTACTGAGTCAGGAATGTGGGAAGGGGTTGTGTGAGTGAGCTCTGACTTGTGAGGATGACAAACCTGGAAAGGGTCTTGGATCCAGCTCTGCAAAGAAATAATTCAAGGAGCTGTTGGACATTGTGTTCCTGGTCATTGCAGGAGCTCTGGAATTTGGTTTGGTCTTTGTTCTCTCACCTGGGGGAGCCAGAAATAATGCTCAGCTTCGATTTTAATACCTACATGCATGAAATGGGAAAGGAAAACCTGTCCTGCTTTGTGTTTTTGGCAGCCTGGGTGAAGCTGAAACTGTCCCAGGAGTCGGGGCCAGGCTGGGATGAAGAGACCCAGCACAGGATGGAGGAAATCAAGGCAGAGCTGCTCCCCAAGGCCAGGAGATCTGCACAAGCCAGGGTACAAACCAGCTCAGGCTGGGGGAAATGCTGCTCTGGGGGTTTTAGGGTTTTTTTGGGGTTTTTCCCAGGCGGTTTGGGGTGGTTTGGCAGGGAGGTGACAATCAGCTGATGTCCCAGAGGAAGGACAGGGATGTGGGGAGGGAACTGGTGCTGCTGTGGGGAAGTGCCCAAAGCTCCTGGTTCTGCATTGGCTGCAGGAATTCTTGCCACAAAAATATTTGTGGAGATGCTGATTGTGCCTGGGCAACTCCTCCTGTGGAGGGGCTGGGTGTCCATGGGATGTTCCCAAAACTTCCTTGGGCCAGCAGGGAGGGAATTGTCCCCAGCTGGGCCCTGGGAAGGGGCTGCTCCAGCATTCCTGCAGGTGAGGATGGCAGGGGGACAATCTGGGAATGGGGACAGGACAGAGCTTGGGAAGTGTCTGTGGGGTGTGGAGGTGCTGGGGATGGGCTGGGATCAGGAGCTTCAGGCTCCTGCAGCTCCCATTGCCTGGGCCAGCTTGGCCTGGAGCTGCTTGGGCTGTTTGTACTTCCCATAGAAAATGTTCCCATAGAAAATGTTCCCATATGAAATGTTCCCATAGAAAATGTTCCCATAGAAAATTTTCATGTATGAAAGGTTCCCATATATGAAAGGTTCCCATATATGAAAGGTTCCCATATAAAATTTTCATGTATGAAATGTTCCCATATGAAAGGTTCCCATATATGAAAGGTTCCCANGTTCCCATATGAAAGGTTCCCATATATGAAAGGTTCCCATATAAAATGTTCCCATATAAAATTTTCATGTATGAAATGTTCATATATGAAATGTTAATGTATAAAGTGTTCCCATATAAAATGTTCCCATATAAAGCGTTCCCATATAAAATGTTCCCATATATAAAATGCATTTCAGGGCTGGAATTATCCTGAGCAGGAAGTGTCACCTTTGTTTTCTCTCTCTCTGTCCATTTCTGTTCAGGGTGACTCTGCTGAGCTTTTTAGGGGCTGATGTTTCAGACTCGAGCTTTAGGAAGAATTTCCTTTTTATTTTTTCCCTCGATTTTTTTTTTTTTTTTCCTGTTTGCTGCTGCCTGCCAGGAGGAGCAGCAGGGGTTGGTTTGTTTGTTTTAATTAAAAGCCCTTCATTAGCAGGGATGACAGTCAGAGCTTTAGGAGTGCTCAGTGTTCAGAGACTCAGCAGCTCCCAAATTTCCCAGGTATTCCTGCATTGGTGGAGTCTCTGGGCAGCTGGGGAAAAAGGAAGTGACTATTTTGTTAATAATTAATATACTAATACACTAATTAGGATTGGTATATAAATAATTAGTATATAAATAATTAGTATAAAAATAAATAATGAATTATTATAATCAGTATCTAACTAAATAATTTATTATTTTAGAAATTAACGTTTCTTAAAATTCTTAAATTCAGATTTCTTAAAAAAGAGAAACAAAACACAAATAAAATAAAAAAAACCAGAGGCATCAAAGCTTTTTTCCCCCCAAACTTTTAGATTTGTTTGGTCACAGCTTTGTCCCTAAAGTGAACTCTGTGCAGTGTGGAACCAAGGCTTTCACCTTTCTGTGACTCAGAGTCAGCTGGGGATTGTTTTATTCCCATTTAGAGTAGGAAGAAATTCACCATAATTTTGCAAACCAAGCTCCCAAGAAATTGCTTTAGTTCAACCACAGCACCTCGTGCTTTGATCTCGAAAATATTTTTGCCTTGCAGTGTTTTTAATTTGAGATAAAAATGGTTTGAGTTTGCAGAGTGAAGGTGAGTGAGGTGTTTTTATTTTTTTAATTGTACTTAAGATAAATGTATTTTCCCCTCCAAGACAAACACAGTCACTGAAAAAAATACAGAATGTTCAAAACTGCACTGAAAAAAAAAACAAACCACAGGCAGGCAAAAGAATCTCCTGTAAATTTAATGGGAATTGTGGTGTACAAAGAGTGTGGAGCTTTTAGAGCCACAGGGCCGTGCATGGAGCTAAAAAGAAAAGATCAGAGATGAGGAAAAGACATTTTCCTGCTGTGAAAGATTGAGGAAGACAAACTGTCCCTGCAGCAGGGTCCTGTTTGTGGATCCCTGGGGAATGTTCAGACCCTGCCTCTCCTGTCCACAGGTTCCTGACGATTCCACCCTGAATTTTCTTGGCATTTTCTCCTTTGCCACGGGAAGTGTGTGAGGGCTGTGGGCAGGGAAGGGAGCAGGGCACTTTGGGGAATTCCTCTGGGATGTTTTGCTTGGGAAGTTTTTCCATTTTTGAGGCAGTTGAGGATCTCTGGGAGCTGTTTTGTCCCAGGCAGGGAAAATCCTGAGGATTTCTGGCTGAGCTGAGGATTCAGGAGGGGCTCAAAACCCCTGGAATGTCCAACATGAACAGGCTGGGAGAGCTGGGAATGTTCCCCTGGAGAAGGGAAAATTGCAGGGAATGCTCAGAGTCCCTGCAGGGGCTCCAGGAGAGCTGGAATTGGGGACAAGGCCTGGAGGGACAGGACCCAGGGAATGGCTCCCACTGGGAAAGGGGAGATTGGGCTGGGATCTTGGGAAGGAATTCCTGCCTGGGCTNGGACAAGGCCTGGAGGGACAGGACCCAGGGAATGGCTCCCACTGGGAAAGGGGAGATTGGGCTGGGATCTTGGGAAGGAATTCCTGCCTGGGCTGCAATTCCCAGATTTGCTGGGGCTGCCCCTGGATCCCTGGCAGTGCCCAAGGCCAGGTTGGATCCCCCTGGAATAATGGGAGGTGTCCCTGCCATGGCAGATTTGGAGTTGCTGTTGGATGTAAATACAATTCCAGCATCTTCAGCCTCAGGATTTTCCTCCTGAGCTGAGCCCTGATCCCCCCAGCTGGAATTTGGGGTGCCAGATTCCCCCTGTTCCCTTTGCTGTGAGTTCCTTCCCCTTTGGTGCAACGTTTTCTGTGATTTTTTAAATTTTTTTTATTTTTTTTTTTTACTCCCTGCTGTACTTTTCCACTCCCTGAGCTCTCTTCACTTCTCCAGGAAGTTCAGGGAGTTGTAGCTCTAAATTTGCTCTGCAGGCTCCTGTGGATCATATGGCACAGGGAGCATTTTTGGAAGGATGACACATGAGAGGCACAATGAAACATGTGAAAGGCTTGGGGAGATGAGTTTATCACAGCTCCTGTGCCTGGTGGGAGTTGCTCTGGATTACCTCAGCCTGTTGAACTGGCACGTGGTGCAGGGAGGAGAAGTTTTGGGCTCATCCCTGTGCTCTCCCACTGCCCCTCCTGGCTGCAGGAAATGCCAAATAAACTGATTTATTGCCTTAAAATCCAGAAAGGAATAGAAAAGTGGGATAATGATCCAGGCCCATGACATCTGGGATGGAGAAAGGCTGGGAAAGCTGTTGTGAAATACTTGTTTATACGTTTGGTTTACACCAAAAATGTTTCCCACTGCTTCTCGTTGCCAAATTCCCAGTGGCTGATGGGGATAAAATCACCCGGGGACCCGTGGTGCTTCATTGCTGGACTACACTCTGCTTGTTGCCAGTAGGAAAAAGTAAATATAACCTCGATTTTTGGGTCTTTTTCCTCTAACTGAGCTTATCTGGCCCATCTCCATGGCAGCACATTTCTCTCAGATTCCCTCTCTTCACTGGAAGTGCTGGAATTTTGGATTGCACTTGAATGGCTAAATTTATGTTGATGGTTGGAATCGTGGAATCATTCAGGTTGGAAAAGAGCTCTGAGATCATCCAGCCCAACCACGTTCAGCACTAAAATCTCCTCAAGTGCCTCCTGCACACATTTCCAGGGCTGGTGACTCCACTGTTCCCTGTTCCAATGCCTGGCAGCCCTTTCCAGGGAGAGGCTTTTCCTAAATTCCTGTCTAAACACCCTCTGGTGCAGCTGGGGACAATGCAGAAGTTTTCTGCACAGGAGGGTGGGGCCTGACCCCCCCAAATCCCTGGGGATGAGGGGTTGAATCCCCTTGGAATTGTGCCCTTGTCCTGTCCCCTGCCAGTGTCCCCAGCCCTGATCCTGGAATTGTGTCAGGGTGGGAATAGCTCTGGAATATTCTGGGATAGCTCTGGGATAGCTCTGTGAGGGTCTGGAATTGTGTCAGGGCTGGGATAGCTCTGGGATAGCTCTGGGATATTCTGGGATAGCTCTGTGCAGTCTGGAATTGTGTCAGGGCTGGAATAATCTGGGATAGCTCTGGGATATTCTGGGATAGCTCTGGGATAGCTCTGTGCAGGGTCTGGAATTGTGTCAGGCTATGGAATAATCTGGGATAGCTCTGGGATATTCTGGGATAGCTCTGTGCAGTCTGGAATTGAGCCAGGCTATGGAATAGTCTGGGATAGCTCTGTTCTATCCAGGTACAAATCCAGGTGAGATGTCAGCTCAGGTGAGAGCTGCTCTTGATGTGCTCCAGGCCAACACTTCCCGGGGTTGAGGTGATAAATGGCAGGGAACGGGAGCTGGGCATTTAAAAAAGGAGAAGTTGAATGAGGTCGTTAGCAGCTGGGATCCCTCCCTTCCCAAACTCTGGGATCCTTCCCTTCCCAAACTCTGGGATCCCTCCCTTCCCAAACTCTGGTTTCTCTCCCTTCCCAAGCTCTGGGTTGTCTCAGCTCTGACCTTTGGCTCCTCACACCCAGGTTTTGGCCGGGGTGGGGAGTTCTCCACAGCACCTCTGTGAGCTGTGCTCTGTTTTTCAGGATCCGTGGCTCTGTGGTCTGGAAGCAGCTCCTGAGTATCAGAGGAAGCAGGAGCAGGACCTGGAGCATTCCCAGGCTCCCAGGGACAGGCACAGACAAATCCCCAGGACTCGGGAGCTCCTCCAGCCCAGCTCCCCACCAGCAGCACCATCCCCGAGAGCTGAGCCCTGGGATTGCTCCCTGCTGCAGGACCTGCAGCTGAAATCCTGGAGCACCACTGAGCTGCAGGACCTGCAG